GAGAACAGTACTCTAGGTCAAAGTAGACCTGCCCCTCTGAGTTTCTGAGACTGTAATTTGATGGGAGTAGAAAGCCCTGCCTTTCTCTAAGGGACCAACCCGGGGTTCTAAGCTTCTGACCTTCTGGTTAGCAGCCCAACACATAACCACTGTACCACCCAGGGCTCCCCTTGCACAAGGATACACTGCCACCCAGCTCTGTGCTGTCGCTGCTATAGATTGTGGACAGACCACTGTGAGCCTCAGATTTCTCACTGCCTGGTTTTCAGAAGTAGATCACTGTGTTTTTCTACTAGTTCTTAACCTGGACGCTCCTCTGAAAAGAGTCCAGCATCATGGAGTATGCAGACCTCCCCTGACAGACAGGTGGGAGCTGCACTTAATGCGTATTGGCTGGAAATCGAAGCTGGGGCTCACACGTTAAAACAACAACAACACCGCCAACAATACAGACCCCTAAACCACCGGCCACCAAGTCAATTCTGACACATCGTGATCCTACAGGACAGAGCAGAACTCCTTTGGGGTTCCAACGCTGTAAATCTTACAGGAGGAGAAAGCCTCACCTTTCTCTCTCAGAGAGGCTGGTGGGTTCGAACTGCTAATCTTGCAATTAGCAACCCAACGCGTAATTCACTATGCCTGCCAGAGCTCCTCTGGGCTTCTCCATCGTTGCAAGAATTCTATCACGGAACCACCACTGCCTCCATCCGCATTATTCACAGAGACGGACACAAATTCTGGGCAATCGGTGATTGTCTTGGACGTTGACTGTGAAGCTAGCCTGGCAGAGGCAGCATGAAGGAAGTGGAAGGACTCGGTGATGGAGCGGGAAGCGTGGGGAGTGGCCCAGAGGGCGAAGGTCCTAGGGGAACACTGAGATGATGGCGATGACAAGTGCTGCACTAGCAGCTCTCGCCAGCAAAGGAGCCACAAAGCATGTGTCTCCCATGAAACCCTCCGTGGTGTCAGTCTCTTGGGAGACGGAAGCGGATCGCTACCAAATTATAATTGTAATATTAGAGGAGAAACCGCTTTGGAAAGTTAACTAGTTTGGGAAACTGAACCACAGAAAGGGTAGGCGACTTGCCCAAGATTACCCTGCTCCCCTCAGTGGGGGAATAGAGGAAAGCACAGGTGTCCCAGCTGGAGGTGAACGGCTTGACTTCACTGCTTCCTTCTAGAGTCTTCAGCTGAGAACAGCCTCCCAAGTCCAGGCCTGGTCTCAACCTGCCCCTCTTGCTATAATTTAAGCTCCTTCGATCCCTGGGGTGTAGTGGTGACTCGTTGGGCTGTGATAAACAGTTGAAGCCCAAGAACCCACAGCGGGGGCCACTATGAGTCAGCATTGACTCGATGGCAGTGAGTTTGGTTTTTTTTTTGGAGTTGCCTTTAAGGGAGCCCTGGTGCTGCTGTGAATTATGAGTTGGGCTGCTAACCGCAAGGTCAGCGGTTTGAACCCACAAGATGCTCCTAGTAGAAAGAAGAGGCTCTCTACTCCTGTAAAGTCTCGAAAACGTACAGGGGCAGTTCTAACCTGTCTTATGAGTGGGGGTGGATTGAGTAGTCTCTCATCTGGTTAGAGAGGCTGCTAGGAAAACTGCTACTTATTCTCTTAAGCTCCTTTCAGTTCCCTCTTTGCTCTGTCCACGACCGCTTCATCAGGCTGAGCCCTGGGCAGGACGAAGCAGAAGCAGTTTATAGACCCCCGATCTGGTTGTCTGTTTTAGCCTCAGCTTTGCAGTGCTGACTCACACTTAGCTCGGATCCTCCCTTGTCTACTCCCACTTTCTGTTCTGCCCTGCCCCTCAACCCGTTCCTTTCTTTCACTCAGCATCTTCTTTTTGCCTTCTCCCTCTTCTATTTTGCCCTCCCTGAGTCTCCTTTCCGAATTCCTCACTGTCTTCCTCTGCCGCCATCTGGCCTCCAGGCTAACTCTGACCCCTACCTTTCGTGCAGTCCAGCAGGTGCCAGCACCCAGCAGTTGGAGTGGGCACTTGTTCTAGATTCGGAAGAGGGCACCAAAGGACATGTCTGGGAGGGCCGGAGCCCATTAGCTGTGGGGAACATGTTCAAGCACTCTGTGCCATTGAAGGAAGCAGCCCTGGTGGCACAGTGGTTAGGCACTAATCATAAAGTCAGTAGTTCGAAACCACCAGCCTCCAGTCACCGGCTCAGAAACTCGCAGGGCAGCTCTGCTCTGTCCTATAGGGTGTCTGTGAGTCAGAATCCACTTGGTGGCAGTGAGTTTGGTCTTTGATTTGGTGCTTTTTCATAAGGCAAATGGCGGGGAACAGATTTAACCGACAGGTTGTAGATCTAAAGACAATCCCACGTGGATCATGCGAAACCCTGCAGCTTAGTATGTGGACTGGTAGGGGTGGCAGTCATGGGAGGGAGAATGGGGGGAAGGCCGCTCTGGGACCTACAATTGCATTTCCACCCAGAGAGCTAGATTCCCTGACTCGAAAGGCAGAACACTGAATGTATATTCCGTTTTATTTTCTTTGCTGTATCTGGCTCAGTAGTCTCCTAGAATGGCTTCCTTGACGGCTTCGCGTTTCTCTGAGGGTTTGAGAACCGCCTTGGGAAGGCCGCTGGACTCGGAGATGTTCAGTTGTAGGCAACGACCTGGAAGCACACAGTTATGCCACAGTCAGTAACTCGGCCCACCTCCCTCCTCTCCTTTCTTCAGGGGCCCCGGGTAAGCACGGTCCTGTACTAGGTATATTGAGAGCAGTAGTGGGCAGGAAGCCCGCTGTAGCAGTGAACGCACAGGCCTAGTCTCAGGACATAGGGGCAAGAACAAACTTCCAAGTGGCGAGGAACCGAGGCCATGCCACAAGCCTCTAGCACAGCGGTTCTCAACCTTCCTAACGCCGCGACCCTTTCATACAGTTCCTCATGGTGTGGTGAGCCCCCAACCATAACATTATCTCTGGTGCTACTTTATCACTAATCACCAAAGGGGTCACGACCCACAGGTTGAGAACCGCTGCTCTAGACGGTCTTTGAAGGCTGGAGGGAGATGGCTTGTGGGGCTTTACCACTAGTGCAGGCAATCTCACCTCACCCTCAAGCATTAGGTCAGGTGGCAAAACCACTCTTCAAAAGGTAGAGCAAATTCTCAGAAGGCCCTTAGAGCTTTTGAGAGACGGCGAGAGAGTCTGCTGTTCTGAAGCTGCTCCCCCCTCGGCTCTGACCGAGAACCACAGCGATATACGTCTGGTTCCAGCCTGCAGCCGTCACCATCCGACCCTAAGCTAGCAGCAGTGTGGTGGAGGCTGCTCAGGGGGCAGGTGAAGGGGGGAACTCAGGGGGCAGCATTACTGAGGGAAAGTGCCCTGTAGGGGGAGAGGAGGGGAGGGGAAACCAAGTGAATGTGATGAGGAAGATGATGGCTTCCCCCACCCAGGCCCAGCCGTTGTCCCCGCCTCCAGGCAGTGGGTAACCCTCCTGGTGACCCTCTGCCCACCCCTCACCCGAGATGACTCACATTATTTATCCAGGAGATGTAAGCAGAGACCCTGGTAAAGACAGTGGGCTTCCTGGCGACATTACAGCCCTGGCTGGACACGAAGCTGGTCACACCGTGTACCGTGTACTGGCCGTTCACCATGCAGTGGAGGGGTCCCCCGGAATCACCCTGCAGGGGGGAGAAACAGCATCTGAAAACCCCCTGATCCAGAGTTTGAGGGGCCTTTGTTTTGTGTTGTTCTCTCGCCCTGTCTCCCCGGGGTCCATTCCATCGGGGCTGGTGAAAAGTCCCCGCCATTCTAAAGCTCCGCTTCATACCCCACCTTCTTCATCGCCTCACCATCACATGCTTCTCGGCTTCCTTTCTAACAGCGACAGCACTTTCTTCCTCTCTGGCAGCACCTATGTCCCGGTCTGCGTTCAAACTGTGTCTGCCTCCCACGCACATCGGCGAGAGTCTCGAGACAGGAGCGAGGTCTTGTCGATGCTTTTTTTTCATTTCTAAAACTGCTAGCTCAGGACTTAGAACCCCTTAAGCTCCATGGCTTGTACTGACTTACGTTGGACCTGGGGTGGAGAGGAAGTGGGGCGCCCTGATAATTCCTTTATCCGCAGCGGTTTGGAAGCGAGTATGACAGGTAGTCGGCACCCACGAAACTAAACTGGGGTGAAGAGGAGGGAGCGCTTTCTGGGAAACCCGATGGATGAGGTCATAGTGTGGCACCTGGGTCTCGAATGCGAGCACCTGCATTTGCAGGCTACGGCTGGCTCCTCTGCTCCGGCACAGCTCCCGGCAGCCCACCACCCTACCCAGACAACTGGAAGGTATTTCTCTGGAGAATCTAACCAGATCAAGGGGCGAGACTGACAGTAGGGAGTGACACTGGCGGTCCCCTAAGAAAATTCGTACCCAGCCCGATCACTCGACAGAGAAGCCTACCACAGTCAAACCTCACTTAAGACGCCAAGCAACCAATCAGTCTTTACCATACGGCTCTGAAATAAGAACAGCGGGTCAAAAGGCACCAGCTGTCCAGAGAAACTCTCTGGCCTCCAGTATAGATGAAAGCAATAGACTAATACAAAAAGCAACACTGTGCAGGTAGAAGAACAGGAGCGATAAAATGACCATTATTATGATATCCACGACACAAGAACAACATCCCCTAAACAGAACACTCAGAGAGCAAAAAGAGCCTCCAGACATTATAAACAGGATAGCAGAAATGAACATTTGGAACAAGCAAACAAAATAAAGGGGAAATAAAAACAGAAAACTCCCCGCCAGTCAGTGGATGCTGACTCACAGTGACCCCATAGGGCAGGGTAGAACTGCCTCTCTCGGTCTCTGAGACCAATTCTACTATGCAGAAAGCCCCGTCTTTCCCACCAAAGGGGAAATAAATGTGAATGATGGAAAACGGAAAGGAGGAAATCAGTAACCCAAACTTAAACACCCTTCTCAGAATCAAAGGTCTGGAGTTTACAGATTGAAAAAGCCAACAAAGTGCCCCTCACGGTAAATGCCAACAGACTGGAGCCACAACACAACTCGGAAGTCAAGAGAAGGTAAAACAGGCCACCACTTAGAAAAGCGTAGTGAGAGAGGCCTGGGGCTGGGTTAGCGAGCGGTCCAGGAGTACGAGTGAAGCTAAGGAAAAAGGCAAGGCAATAATGAACTTCAGGAGAAACAAAAACATTACGCAGGAAAGGAAAAGTAATTCTCGAATACCAGTACAGGATTTAGTTCTGAAGAGTACGTTACATAATCCTAATAAAGACAATATAGATCTAACCAAAATTACTTGGGTGATCAGGGTGGGGCTGGGAAAGACCATGTCTGTCTGGAGGTTGTGGGAGCGTGTGTGTGTGTGTGTGTGTGTGTGTGTGTGTAAAAAAGTGTGTGTATGTGTATGTGTGTATGTGTAAAGAGGAGCGTGATCTCTATCTTCCGTGACGCCTGAAGGGAAAAATGAAATAACAATATAAGTGTATATATATCTCAGAGAGAAATGGAGGTAGACACTAAAAAATCCCCCAAAAACAGCCAAAAGAGTTGGAAGTGGTCACCTCTGGGGAGGAATCACAGAGGCGATGATCTTTTCCCATTATTAAGCAGCGTACTTTGAGTTCCAATTTAATTTAATAATAGAGCTTTTGATCGAAATCAACCTTTAAAAAGAACAAGATCTAGGGGAAGGGACCTGAACTTCAAAGTAGAGACAGTCCTTTTCAGAGGAGCTAGCAACACCCAGTGCTAACAGCTTCTTTATATTTTTTCAGGGGAGAGCGTGCACGCAGTCCCCCACTCCATAGACTATGCAGTGGCGTTTCCCCCATTTGGGGGAAATCGCAGGGTCAGCACACCCGGAGTGCAATGGGTGAGCCTTGGCCCCTAACAACTTCTTGAGAACAGATGTTTTCTTTCGCGATGGTGCTCAAGACAATAGAACAACCGAGAGCTCTCCCACCCACATGCCAATGGTGAGTTAGAGCCGTACTGGAAAACCCAGTCCCGGATGAATCAATTCCCCATCCTACGAACTGGATCTTCGAGCAAAGTGAAGGGAGTCATATGCCACGTGGTCATTACTGTATCAACCAGGGGTCTCCAGTCTCAGCTTACCATCAGTGTCTCTGAGGACATTCCTTCTCCCATTCCCACGAAATTACTCCAGTTGGGAGCAACCACGCCTTACTGTCAGCAGTTCACCTGCCTCCTGGTTCATAGTTATAATAATAATAATAAAATATAGTGTGGGACGCCTTCTAACTCCTAGCTACCCGACCTACAGACTCTTGCTGTTCGAAGCCAGCTCCCTCTGTGCCCTTTGATTCCACCTCTCCCTTCTCTGGGACTCTGTGTCATATTCTCCACGCAGGCAAATCTTTTCACATCTCCGCAGGTAGAAAGAAGTAAGTACTTCTCCTTTGGGCCACCTTATCTTCCTATGCATATCTTTACTGTCACATTCAACCGCATCGTGTTCCAATCGTCTTTCTATCATGTCCCTGCCGTTCACCAACACCCAGACGATGGGCTGCAGGCCCAGCTTTCGAGGTGGGGGCTTTGAGCGAGATGAACTTTAAGATCCTCTCAACGATCAGATTCTGTGAGCAAAGCGTTAGAGGCATCCATCACCCTCACGGCAGAGCAGAAGGGTGGATCCGGGCCTGGGGGTAGGATTGAGCAGGAGTCGGAAGGTGAAGAGAGCGTGGCGTGGGAGGCAGAGGAGCAGGGAGGTCTGGGCAAGGCTTAGGACAACTCCCCTGCGTGTTTACCTGGCATCCAGAGCGAATCCCATCTCCACCAGCGCACACCATGGTGTTCTTCACGGTTGAGCCCCAATAGGAGGAGCTGGAGCAGGTGGCGTAGTCCACGGTGGGCAGGTAAGCCTGCTGCAGGGTCTGGGCCAGCTGCCCATTGGCTGCATAGGGTACATGACATTGGAGAATGAGCCCCAGATGTCCAGGGGCACCGTCGCCACACTCTCAACCCTCCTCAAACTCTGGTGAGAGCCCAACGGCGGGGGGGCATCTTCTCTTTGGTCACACAGCCTCGTCACGGACCTCTCCCTCACGTCTCTCTTTTGATGGCACCTCCAGGTCCCTTCTTCTTGGGTGCCATCCTTGACTGTTCCCTCTAAGCTCCAAACCACCAGTCCCCCTCCTGCCCATTTTCACCCCTGAATTAGAAAATTAGAACGGTGTTATTTGTTGATAACTTATCTGCCGCCGCCTCCCCGCACCTGCCCAGCTTCCTCTTTACAAAGTAAGTTCCAGAAAGCAGAACTAGGACTGTGTGCTCTTGTTTTTATTTCTTAGCAGCTCTTTGAACTTGTCAAAGCCTTGGCCCATATATTATTTCTTTTGACCTTTGCCTCTGCCCTTTCACGTTATAGATTGGGACCTTGAAGCACAATGGCATCAATGCACTGAGAGCAGAGCAGCAGCAGCAACAGCAGCAGCAGCATGTTTTTCTCTCTCTCTCTGCTTGAGGTTTGCCCAGTAGGGTGACTGCACACCACAAGCACACACACACCCTCCTCCCCTTCAGAAGTTCCAATGCTGCCGGGTACCTAATGGACTTCTGAGTCAGGTCTAAAGGTTTTCTTCTCCTTGCCTGCTCATAGCCCTCCCACCTGTCCATGTAATCGGAATGATATTCCGCACCAGAAATCATCACAGGATGACCAGAAGAGAGTTGAGGCCTCCTCTGGGTCTCCCTTATCTGGACCCACCGCTACCTCTGTGCAGCCTGCCAGTCCATAGCCTGTAGACGCAGCAAGGTGGTGAACTGACCACCCAAGTGGGCATCAAGATACCTCCGTTCGGGCTTCAGCTTTGCATTAACCAGCCATGTGATCTTGTACTGGGCCCTTCCTTTCACCGGATTGTTGTATCCTCACGGACAAAAGGAGAGGCCGGCACAGAAGGATGAGCCCAGGTAGTTAAGCACTGGGCTCAGCTACTAGCAGTTCTCTGAACCCACCATGGGAGCAGGATGTGGCAATCTGTTTCCATAGAGATTTCACCCTTGGGAACCCAATGGGGCGTCCTCCTCTGCCCTACAGGGTCACTATGAGTCTGAATCAACTCAACAGCCATCAGGTTTGGTACAGTGCACAAGAATTTTTTGAGTTCTAAGGATCAAGAAATCTTTGACTTGACAACCCCACCTTCCGTTCTTAGCCCGGTAAAATGTACCAGTTGTTTGATCTGTGGTTCCTTTGGCTCCTGCGCTCTTGGAGCAAATACCTAAGATCACAGGAAAATGTGCCCCAGAAGTTGAACTGCCTTATCACGTTCCCCATGGTGGATGGTGCCAACGCGGGCAACTTACTCCTGGTCCTGCCCCAGCCTGTGATGTAGCAAGGGGTGTTGTTAGGCAGGATGGTTCCTTCCGGGGGCAGAACACCCAGCTGGACGTAGCTGTTGAGAGAAACGCTCTTGGCCAGGCGGAGCAGGGCGATGTCATAGCTGTAGGAGGAAAGGAGACGGCTCATGGCTGGGGTCAGGCTTTCCCAAAGGTCACAGCTCTGTCTTCTCTAAGCCTCGGTGTCTCCATGGGGTTGGGAACCAAGACTTTGAAGATGGAGGGTGGTGACTTGCTGAACCTCAATTTTGAGGGAATTTGTCCTTTGTGTTATAGGACATCCTATATACTAATTAGCATCACCTGCTGGGGGACCTTGGTATTGCAGCCTAGTGCTGGCGGCCACCCAGGGGAGTGGAGCTTAAATCTTCCAGCAGTGAATGGGATGGGAAAAATAGAGCGGAGCTATTTGGAGGGCAGAGAAGAGTCCTCAACAAATTAACATGCATCCAGGCAGGCTCTCAAAGTTCTGGAGAACCACTGAATCACTTAAGTCCACCCCACCACCCCAGCTCCCCCAGCCCCACCCACACTGCAAAATTGACCACCAGTTTAATGATTTCCTTTTCAAAACGCTGCAATTCAGTCTTGCAAGAGGGTTTCCACATTACGATCCACTTTAAGACATTTAAATTTTTGGATGAAGTCTATCTTATAATGCGAATAATGAATAGCAATAAAAAAATAAGCCATAAAGCCAGAAATTCTACAAAAAAAGGAGACTTAGCGAAGCCAAGCATGCAGCACAGCCTAGCTGTAAGAGCCCCAATAAAATGATTAAACAACACCCCCCCACACACACACACAAAAACAGAACAAAACAAAAAAAACACCCCAAACTCTCAAGCCTGCTAAAATCTACTTCTCAACACCCTCCTGGACAATTGTGCCAGCTCATTGCCTCCCACCAAGACACTGAGCCCTTTCCTTGACTCAGCTGGGCCCCTGGGCCAAAGGCCAAGCCATGAGCCACAAACTTGGTTTTACAAGTCAATACCTGGACCCTTAGGGTAAGTGTGAAGCCACGCCCCTCACGACCCACCCGGTGGCCTGCCCCCTCCCAGCCCGGGGCCGGCCTTCCTTGCTCCTACCCTGCAGCCACGTTGTTGCTATTCCAGTAGGGATGCACCACGATTCTCTGCACGTTCACGTACTGCTCGGTGCCATCGTTCTGGCTCAGGTTGTGATCCCCGACCACCACGCGGAAGGTCATTGAGCTGGAGTGGGAAGAGGACGCTCTGAGACCGGAGGTGACCCAAACCATTCTTTCCCCACGGAGAGGACGTGGGAAAGCCATCCTACACCTTCCCTGCCAGGCTGGCACTCATCTGTTCTGATCCAGGCACCAGAGGAGCAAGCAACCGTCGCTCTTGGCCCCTCATTCGTACCAGCTTCATTTCCCTGCAAGAAGCTAACCCCCACAGGCTGCGTTTCTCCTCACTGAGAGAGGAGGGTCCAACCCTAAGTGGAATGATGGCACTCGCCCCACGGGAAGATTCTGAGGGAAATGGAAGCTTCTAGACAGGTAGTTGATCGTTAACACGCGGCTCATGAACCACTAGCAGCAGTGGCAGCAGCGGCATCTGGGGACCGGTTAGACATGTCTGTACCCCGCCCCCCCAAATCAGAAACTCCACTGGGTGGGCTCTAATGCCGTCCGGGTCATTCTGATGCATGCTCAACTTTGAGAGTCATTGTCCAAGACAAATATGATACAATAATTCCCAGCCCGACGCTGACTAAATATTCACTCGGTTCTCATAAAGACTCTACAAAACAGGTATGAGTACCCTGTTTTAAAGATAAGAGAATGGGGGCATAGAGAAACTAAGTTTCCCAGAGTTACCTAGCTAACACATGGAATGGGGTTTCAGCCAGAACTCACTAGGCAGTCCAATGGGTACTTTTCATGAGAACGCAAATGGGGAATCTACATTCCATGTTATAAATGAGGCCACGGGAAGGTTTTCCTCAAGAAGGATTGACACACAGGTCCTTGCTCTGTCAGGGGCTCACCTGTCCTTGCTCACCTGTCCACACAATGAGCAGCTGTCATCACCCAGTTCTGCCTAATGAGGGTCCCTCCGCAGGTATGATACCAGGAACCTCCGGACAGGTACTGAAGGGAAATCTAGAAAGGAAGGGGAGAAGGCTTGGTGTGTCTCAAAAGGGTTGGCCCCAGAATACATTTTACCTCCTTCAGTTCCTGGCACCTCTCTAAACAGGCTCCAGCTGTACGGGCTAGAGATGGCAAATGGGTCTCATGTGACTTGTTATGGCCTGGCTGGTTGGTAGCGCAGGGTGGAGATACTTCCGCAGGTCAGTAGGAAAGCGGGCTTAGTGCCCCTCTCCAAGGTTCTGAAAACACACTCCGTCCTGCCCCCCCAACCCCCCTCCCGCCGCCCTCGTCTCGGGACATCATTGAAGTGTTCCATTTGTATCTCACATCTCCCCCTTGCAACGCCATATATTACACAATTGTCTGCTCCTGAATTCCTGAATCTCAGGTCTCCGGCTTTCATCAATGAAATTTAGTACTAATCATAGTGGCTCCTCTGTACC